GTTTTGATGGATTTTTATTAAAGCTTAGGAAGTTAGAATTCTGTAACGATTTGTGTTTTATCGAATTTTATGCGGACCACTAATGGACCACGAAATAACGAAGAAAAAAGGCGCGCGTAATTGTAACGCAAGAAATAAAATTGTTAATTGTTAAATTTTCAATAACGAATAGAAAATCCTTTCTCATCCACTCCTATGGAAAGCCTAACCAAACTCTAACCTGAACGAGTGAGGACCTTAGCTGCTAGTTACGGGGGTGGTGGTGGGGCCTCTTACCCCTCTCCTTCCTTTTTTTTTCTTAGTTGCGAATCTCCGAGACCTAGGCGCTACTGGCGGAAGATGTGGTACTGCAGTCCAATTCAGTTAGTCGAATAAAGGTGAGGGTGACAAATGGGGTTCCTGGGACTGAATACTTCATGGAGAGAAAATATTTTCCCCATAAAGCCTCCAATATCCTCATTCCGTCAGGGCTGTTGAGAACCTGCCTGGAAGAGGTGAAAGTTGTCAATGACGGCGAAGGCGAGATACGATGGAAGAAGGGACGTCTCATCGCACAAGTAGAGGCGTGTCAGCCGAGCGATGACATATCAGGAGCGTCGGATTCACAAGTGAGAAAGCTTTCCTTATCTAATAATAGTAGCTTAGACATTTCAGGGTTGAATGTAGGAGATATATCAGCGAAATGTAGAAAACGCGTATGTCAGGACGTTATTGGGTTAACCAACTTAGGGAGCATGCAAATAAAATTAACTACTGGCGTGCCAATATATTATAGGCCTTACAGGTTATCTCATCACGAACGATAGCTGGTCAGGGAGAAGGTAGATACTCTTTTGGAGGCGGCCGTAATACGAGAACGTGAATCTGCATAAGCGAGTCCTATTGTATTGATACCGAAAAAGTCTGGTAAAATTAGGATGTGTGTTGATTATAGGGCTTTAAATGCTATTAGTGTTAAGGACTGCTACCCACTACCTTTGATTTCGGATCAGCTTACTAAATAAGCAAATAAAACTCTCTTTACCATACTAGATTTGGCTCAGGGGTTTCATCAGTTACCAATGAATCCAGATTCGGTGGTTAAAACAGCGTTTATTACACCAGATTGCCATTATGAATATTTGCGAGTGCCATTTGGTCTTTCTAATTTACCAGCAGTGTTTCAGCACAACATTGATAAGATGTTAGGTAATTTAAGATATGGCGAGGTGTTAGCTTATATCGATGATCTTTTGATACCAGTTGCAAGCTAAGAAGAGAGCTTAGCGATGCTAGAAATGGTTTTAGGGTTGATTGAACAAGCAGGTGTTAAGCTCAAACTGGAGAAATATTCCAAAAACTCTTGAATATTTAGGACATGAGGTGACTGGAGAAGGTATTAGTCCTGGAAGGCGTGAAATACAAGCTATACAAAAATTTCCAGTACCTAAGAACGTGCATGGCGGTAGACAGTTCATTGGTTTAGCGTCTTATTTTAGGAAATTCATTAGAAACTTTGCGGTGTTGGCGAAACTGTTGACTAACCTTACTAAGAAGGATGTAAAGGGTTTTCCAATAAGAGGTGTTATTTTGAATAGCCCGCTATTTCGGTAGATGTCACTTTTGGAGCTGTCATGTTTTGACATTTGACAAGTAGAAACTACGCCATTAATAAAAATGGAACGATACACGCTTCAACAACGCATTGAAATTATTAAAATTCACTATAAAAATGGTGAAAATTTGGCGGAGACGGTTCGTAAAACTCGAACATTTTTGGGTCGTCGTGAAGCACCTTGTCGGACCGCAATACAGAAATTGGTGGAAAAATTCGAGCTGTTGGGACAAGTTAATGATGTGAAGAATAAAACCCGTGCACGTCGCTCAAGAACAGCCAAGAATATTGCTGCTGTAGCCAAAAGTGTTTGTCCATTCCTCGTCGTTCTTTGGAATTACGCATTCCAAAAACGTCATTACACCGTATTTTGCATTAAGATTTGGGTCTTAAGGCCTATAAAGTTCAGTTAAAACAAGAACTCAAGCCGGCCGATCATCAACAACGTCGTGTCTTTGCCGATTGGGTCCGTGAAATGCATGAAAATGATCCGGAATTCCATCGAAAAATCATCTTGAGTGATGAGGCCCATTTTCACCTCGGTGGCTTCGTCAACAAGCAAAATTGTCGCATCTGGGGCTCGGAAAACCCAAGAGTTATTGTTGAAAAGCCTCTCTATCCTCAACGTGTGACTGTTTGGTGCGGTTTATGGTCCGGCGGGGCCATTGGACCTTACTTTTTCGAAAATGAGGCTGGAGCACCAGTTACGGTGAATGGATTGCGCTATCGAGAGATGATTAATGATTTTTTATGGCCGGAATTGGATGGTATTGATCTGGACAACGTTTACTTTCAACAAGACGGCGCTACGTGCCACACAAGCAACGAAACCATTGATCTTTTACGGGAAAAGTTTCCGGACCGTGTTATCTCTCGGAGAGGTGATCACAATTGGCCACCGAGATCTTGTGATTTGACACCTTGCGACTTCTTCCTTTGGAGCCACGTGAAAGAGAAGGTCTACGCCAACAGCCCAGCGTCGATTCAAGACCTCAAAGATGGAATTCGTGAGGCTATCGAGGACATAGGGCAGCCACTTTGCGATTTGGCTATGGAAAATTTCATGAAAAGGATATGGTCCTGCAGGCGTGGTCGTGGTGGTCATTTGGCTGATGTTATTTTCCATTATTAACGGCATACCTTCCTCTTTATAATGAAATAAACATCCGATCATTTATCTCAAAAAATGGCATTTTCCTTTGAATATCAAAATAACACCTCTTATTGGAAAACCCTTTACTTTGGAGTTGGAGCAGTAGGAGGCTTTTACTTTACTTAAGAATTATCTGGCAAATAGGCCTGTGTTAGCATTGTACGACAATCAGGCGAATACATAACTGCATACTGACGCTAGTAAGCTGGGATTGTCATGTAATCTCTTGCATAAAGGGGTAGATGACAAATTGAGGCCTGTTGAATATTTTAGTGGGGCTACCACGTTGCAGGAGCAGGTGTATCATAGTTATGAGCTAGAAACGTTGGCTGTAGTTGAATCTGTTAAGCGCTTTAGGGTGTTACTTAAAAGATACTTAGTTCCTAAAATAGCTCGGTGGTGGTTGGCGATTCAGGAGTACGACATGGAGATAGAATATCGACCTGGTAACCGTACGTAGTATGTTGATGCTTTAAGTAGAAACCCACCTATTGATAAAGTCTGCGTAAATATTGTCGCAATGCAGAGAATGATTGGTTTTTAACGGTGCAGCTGCAGGATCCCAAGGCGCAAGAAACTGTGAGACTACTGTCATCAGAAAACGTAGACACAGACCAAGGCGCTTTATAAGGTGAAACATGGGCGACTTTATCGTATAACTTCACATGGAGATAGGCTGCATGTACCAGCTATGGCTAGATTTAGTATTCTTAGGAAGCATCATGATAACATAGGTCAGCCGGCATTTGAAAGGTGTCTAATTTTAATATCAGAGACGTATTTGTTTTCTAAAATGAGGTGTATTGTGTCTAAGTACGTCAAGTCATGTTTGAGGTGTGGATTTGCGAAAGGTCAGTGCGGTTTAGTTGAAGGGTTGCTACATCCAATTGAGCGTCGACCGGTACCATTTGATACAATACACGTTGATCATTTGGGCCCATTTGTGAAAAGCGTTAAAGGTAACTCATATTTTAATGGTGGTGGATGGATTTACTAAATTTCTTATAGCAAAGCCCACGAAATCTGTTAAGTCATCTGAAACTATTGCCCGCTTAAATAGGGTTTTCAGCAAGTTTGGTTATCCAAGGCGAATCATATCGGATCGAGTCAAGGCGTTTACTAGTAAGGAGTTTAAGGAGTTTTTGGTGGATAGGGGTGTAAAGCACGTGTTGAATGCGGTGGCAACGCCTAGGACGAACGGACAAGTGAAGGGATCCAATAGGACCATTGTAGAAGCCTTATCTTTGACTGTAGAAGCTGAAGGTAGGTGGTACGAGAAATTGCCGGATGTTGTGTGATGACTCAATCATATGATCAATGCTGGGACAAGTTTTTCTCCTGAATATTTAATGTTTTCCCATAGTCATGGCCGAGTAACCGATTTGGCGGATGGCGAGCTGGCTAGCGACAATAAAAACAGGGCTGGTTGGAGTCTCAAGAACATAGTGGATGTTCAGGGTGTCGAGCGTGCAATACAAAGGAGCGATGGTGAGGCGAAGGAGGTTAAGAAGATTGGTAAGCCCGACAGGGTATTAGGTAATATCGACACCCGCTTGGTGGATCAGGGTGACGACTTTAATCTCAAAGTTTCTAGGCGCGGAGGGCGAGGTGGGCGAGATGAGCAAGGTTGGCGAAGGAGACGAAGCTCAAGGTTGCTCAACAAAAGGGCTATGACTAGAGATGTTTCATCTCCCATTTATCGAAAAAGGTAAAACTTCAAGACCCATGGTCAAGGCAGGTGTGGTTTGTGATGGGCTCCCAAACCTAGAGAAGGCTGTGGTATCTGGACCAAGCCCGGTTTTTTCAGACGGGGAGAGAGTTCATTCTATGCGTTAAAACTCGCCTAAAATACAAGTTTTTATCTTGTCTTAAATATTTGCCAAAAAAATTGACTGACAAAAAATTATTATTTGTCTAAATATATATTTCAGGGATCAAGAATAGAAAAAATAATGCAAAAGAAACGGCTGTACAGAAGCAGATTGCTCCATCTTCATCAATCCTACAAATAGAAACCACATTAATGCTGAAAAAAATATTTCAATTTCAAAGGTATTTTTAATTGGTTGCTATGAAAAAAACATTGCTTAAAATTTGAAGGCCAGATATTAAATGAAGAAGTACATGTCATGATTAAAGTATTTTTAAATCAAATTAAAGAAAGATTTAAAGACATTGAAGGAAATGAATTGGTTTCTCAAAAAACATTATTAGATCCACGATTTAAAAAAATATGGATTTTCAAATAAAGATATGGCTAATTTAGCCTTAGAAAATATGAAAAAGAAAGTATCTACCATTCCACACCAAGAAAACTGTGCAACTCAATTTGGTAAATCGGAAAACTCCAATCAAAGTAATGAGGATATTAAAAATAAAAAGATTTTTTTTTTGGAATGATTTTGATAAGGTCGTCAATAGATCTAAAGCGTCAGCAAATCCTTGAGCAGCCAGTATTATTGAAGTGGACAAATATATAAATGATCCATTAATCAGCAGCCAAATAAGTTGTCGAATACAGAAATTGAAAATCACATAGATACTTTTAATCCTTTGATTTCTCATTGTAGACGAGAACGTGCGCCAAACCATCTATATTTACCCAGCGATGTAACTATTACTCTGTTTCCAGATTTTCAAGAGAAGTGTCCTGTATTTATTTGTTCTTACGAAAAGTATAGGTAAGTTGTTAAGGCAAAGAACAATCTTTTGCGAAATTGGGCAACGAAGAATGCAAACTTTGTGAGTCATTTCAGTTACACAATCCTGAACATACGGCTGATTCCCTTAAAGATGGTTGCGAAGTATGCTTTAATTGGAATGATCAAATCAAAAAATCTAAAGATTATCGAGAGCGATACTCCTTGGATAATCAAAAGACTCATGACTACAAATTTAGATACATCCACAATTTTTCTGATTGTTTCTAAATTAGATAACAATACTATTCGAGAATGGGAAAATTATAGTATAAAGTTAACCGAATTGCTTGTACTTCAAGATTTAAAGACTTTTGTTAAGGGTAGAGCCGACTTATTGGAAATGATATAAAATAAGATGTTTAATAGAAAATATCAAACCCCATGTTTAAAGTATCTAATACACGTTTTTTTATTATTTGGGACCCTAGATTGTTGTTTTATGTTGTGATTTTTAACCTTAAAAAATTTATTTTTACAGGATTGCAGAGTGGTTGAAAGCCTGTAATCGAGAACGACTTGCTAGCAAAGCTTCAGAAGAATTACACAAAAATTATAGATTGTGAAAAACATTTTGAATCAATGTTTTATTCAATTGGATTAACTCGGAAATATTTATGGGACAATGCAATTCCAACTATATTTAAACATAATGTGTCTAAAAATATAGATGTTGAAGACAGAGTTATATTTAATATTCCGGAAGACGACGATTTTCTCAGTATGCTAGGTATTGATAGAAATTATAATGAATAATTGTCCTTTACCTTTTGTAACTTGAAGTTTTCCTTATAATAAATTAAAATATAAACACCAAATTTTATTTTTTTAGGTCCCAGCCTGGTTAACTTTCAGGATGAAATAGAAACTGTACCAACCTCTACTGCTGCCAATGAAGATTTTCTAAAAATGCCAGGTAATAGAAAATAAGATTTGACAATTTTATTTTATTATTTTTAATGAATATAATATAAATTTTTTTGTACAAACCATTTTCAGGTCCTAGTGGGATAAACATTCAAGATGTAGCTTTAACATCTATGTCTGTGACACATCCAAAATTATCCCCTTCAGTTGGATCTTTGAATTTAGAATTTTTAAGTGCATCATCTCCAAGAAAAATGAACTTGAGAAAAAAATTAAACAACTTAACAAGAAACAAATTTTGCCTAGAAAACGAGACTGGTCAATAAATGTTTTCAAAGGGATGTGTGAACAATATTTAGGTCAACCTCTCGCAGATATAATTAAAGTTCAGTCAGAATTAAAAAACAAACAATCCAGAGCCAAAAGATACCCAAAGCAATACAAACAGTTTGCCTTAACTTTATACTTTTTGGGTCCTAGGGCATATGCCTTTATGTCAAAAATTCTATGCCTCCCAAATAAGCGAAGTTTACAGTAGATGACAGAAAAAATAATTACTAAGCCAGGTACAGAATGATGCTATTTTTAAAGCATTAGAAATAAAGGTTCAAACATTGATTGATGTTGACAAACATTGTATCATCTGTATTGACGAAATGTTATTAAAGTCAAATTTATTTTACAACACCAGTCGAGATGAACTTGTTGGTCTTAAAGATATAGGGAAAGGTATTAAAGAATTTGATTATGCTCAACACGCCTTGGTAATTATGGTTAGAGGCCTCTATAATAATTGGAAACAACCACTAGCATATTTTTTTGTTACCGGCCAGTTTGAACCTTTGGAACTTAAAAATACAATAATTGATTGCATAGAGAAACTGAATAATTTAGGTTTAGTTGTAGATGCTGCTGTGAGTGACAGGGGATCTAATTTCGTACAGTTGTCGAGAGAACTGGGAGTCACTATCGATAACTCAGAAATAGAAGTGTGTGGCAAGAAAGTTATATATTTGCTTGACATTTGCCATTTAATAAAAGTGGCACGAAATAACTTATTAAAAAATGTTATTCATTTCGATATGAAAACTTCTTGGAGTTTTTAGAAGCTTTTTATCAACAATTTTATAGATGTACACCAAAATTAACACGGGCACATTTATTTCCCACTAACTTTTAAAAATTAAAGGTGAAACTGGCTACTCAAGTTTTAAGTCATACGGGAGCCAGTGGTATGAATGTATATTTAAGTCTTGGGGCCATTCCTAATGATGCAATAGGAACTATTGATTTCATTGAAAAATGCAATAATCTTTTTGATATTTTAAACTTAAATGAAAATAATAAATATAAGAAAGTTTTTCAAGGTGAAATATTTCAAGTGGAATTTTTAAGCGAGATGCTTAGTTTTTTAAAAGATATTGAACTATTTGACAGAGGGAAAGAATGTAACAGCAAAATCGAAAATTCAAAAAATGTTGGATAATGGGTTGTTAAGTCTTTGGTCAAAATTGTCTGATCAAGGTTTTAAATATATTAAGACTAGACGGCTTAACAGTGATGGTCTTGAAAAATTTTTTTGATCTGTCAGGCAGCAAGGTGGAAATTCAATAAACCCCATACCATTCCAATTTGAACGGGCATTTAAAAAACTATTTTGCCAAAGTTATCTCCACTCTGGTAATATGAATTGTAAAGAGGATCTTGACAATCTTTTAATTAATTTTGATCCAAAAAAATGTTTTCTCATAAATTGTTATGTACCAGACACTGATACAAAAGCAATTGTACTTAACGATTATGATTATCGATTGGAGGATATGACTTTTCAAAATCCATTTAAATATGTAAGTGGGTATTTATATAAAAAAGCATTGTGCATACATACATGTGATTTGTGTACAAAATTTTCAAAAGATTGTGAAGATTTGGACACGTCAGTTATTAACTTTTTTTCAAAGCTTTTGATAGCGACAGAAACACATATGGAGGACTTCGTACTCCAAGTGAAATATGTATTCATTATATTTACCAATTAGAAAAAATATTTTTATCTCAATTTAGTGAGATATGTTTAACAACAGGGATATCTCACAAACTATTATATATTATGAAAGATATTGAATTAAAACATCCATGTTCAAACTTCTCTAAAATGTATGTTTTAAAACATTTTATTAGACTTAAGATTTATATACAATAAAATACATAGAGACATTAAAGAAAATAAAGGAGATAAAAACAATAAAACCCAAAGAAAAATGATTATACTTTCTCATTTATATTTTTAATATGTTATTTTACTTTGTATTTTAAGTGTTTCTGTGTATTTATTTTATTAAAAAATTACAGAGTTAATTAATGTGTTTTAATTTATTATAATTTCCCATTCAGATTTAATCAATAGCTTTAAACCTAGTTATATTCAAATTTCTATGTTTATACTGTGCATACAGAACTCGAACAATTTTGTGAGTTTGTTAACGTTGAACTTCAAAAATGATTAGGGTATGGTGCTACTCGTTGGTTGGCATTGTTACCACCGGTACAACGCATTTTTAAAATGTAATGCCCTTTAAAATCTTACTTTGATTCGCAAGAAAAATGCCCAGTCCTAATAAAGAACTTCTTTGCAGATCCTGTTAATGAATTGTGGTTATTTTTTGTTCAAAATATTGCAGAATCATTTCACAATATAATTTTAAAAATGGAGGGACAAAATATTTCTTTATTGGAAGTGATTAAATTATATAGGGACTTTCAAATGAAGTTGATTGAAAGACGTGATCATTTGTTCTTGCCATTTTCTGTTAAGCAACTAATGTCAAAGCTAGAAGCAGAAGGTAACATCAATATTATTTCTAATAAAAAAGCAATTAAAACTTTTTATTCCACTTGCATTGAATATTTGGATCAATGGAGTCAACGTTTTACTGATATTGAAGGCTATCAATGGGTTTTACTTGATCATATTCCAACCTACAATCAAATAGAACTTTCTGCTCAAAACATTATACAAAATTTTGAACAAGTGACAATTATTGACACAGAGCTTTTTGATGAAATTTCGGTGTTAAGAAACTTGGTTATAGAAGAAAAAGTTGCCAGTCAGAAAAAAGCCCTCTACCACTGGAATCAAAGTGGGTCGAAATATTTGATTATTTCACTAAGAATGATGTACTCTAATCTAAAGATTTTGGTCGAATAATGTATGTGCCTGTCTGGGACAAATAGTCCTGTAGAGAGTATTTTCCAATATGAACAACTTTTGGACAAAGGACAAATCACGATTAAATATTAAAACACTAAAATCATTATTAATTGTCAAAACTAATTTTGATCACACATGCATTGAATTTCACAACATGCTTACAAAAAAATGAAGAAAATTCACTCACAAGAAAAATATAGTTTTAAAAAACCTTAAACTGTAATATGTATTCTTAATATAAATAAAGTATAAATTGTTGATTTATTATTGGCGTTCCGGTTTTTCTTTCCGGGGAGTTGTCACCTTACTCATGGATTCTCTTCATACATTAATACTTATTCAAGAATTACATCGCATACTCAGTCTTGTCTAGATCACATATTTGTGAGATCGAAATCAACTTCCAAAAAAATTGAATATCACGCCCTAGTAATTAACAACAATATAACAAATCGCCTTCCGGTCTATTTGTCCATAAACAGTAAACATAACCGCTAAAAAAAACTAAATATAAACAAATTAAAAAATTTGATGACGAAGCGTTTCTTGGCTTATTGTCAAGAACACAATGAAATATAGTACTCTCGCTTAACCATCACTAGTTTATGACAAATATTCATTGACATTTTAACCAGGCTAATATATCAGTGTAGAACCATAAAGAGTATAAAAATAAAAGATAATAAAAAGATTAAACCTTGGATTACTGATGGAACAATAACTTCGATAAAACATAGGGATAAGTTAAAAAAACAAGTACCTAAATACCCACATAACATCAATGTTCTATGAATATACTAAGAACGTTCTGTTTATGTTCTTTTTAGTATGTCCTTTTTAGTATGTTCTTAGAACATACCTAGTATATACTTTGAAAGTATATTCTAGAAAGTATATGCTGAGCACGTGCCTTAAAAGTATATACTGAGCACGTGCTATAACAGGACATTCTAAGAAGACACTAAAAGTCATATACCCAGCCTGTACCTCATATTCTGAGAATGTTCTAAATGCTTGCAGGTAAAAATTAACACCAAATACATGTAAAAAAAAAAAAACGTTTATATACATATCTATATGAATTTTTCCCAGATACAGATCTATTAATTGATTAGCAAACGCACTAATGTTTAGGCGAAAAGCAACCATAATAAAAGATAAGAAGAAGAAGAATAACATAACCTACAATTCCTACAAATTTCTTTGATCTCGTTTCAGTAAGTAAATTAGTAAATTAGTAAAAATGGAAATTTGTGACAATTTTGTAAATTTAATTAAAAGAGGAATTATGTAAAATTCACTTTCAGGAATTTCTAAATAAAATCTACTTTTTTTAATGGCTAAAAAAGATATTGACTTAATCCTATCATCTTCTACATATATTATTTGACTACTTGATGGGCTTAAGTCACTGATAAAAGTTAGATGGTGAAATTCTTTCTTCTGAGATTTCAAATTTGAAAGGCGAACATGCAACACTTACAGCTTGAGGTTTAAAATAAAGTTCTTCAGTTTGAATTAGTTTACTTCTGTAGTAAGGTCTAATCAGCACTTGTGCACCAAAATTTTTAACCTCTGTTACTTGTGTTTGTGTACATTTTTCAAATGTATTCTTTCTCAAAACATTTTCATCTGTGATATTTTCACTGGCATTGTCCATCAGCAGAGATTCTACAATATTTTGTCTTGCTTTTTTGGCAGAAGCTTCAAATTCTTTTTCTTCTGAAGGGCGTTTTCTACCAGTTTTGCATTGGAAAATGTGCGGTACAACATGCTCCTTCAAATATATGTTGCCTCCTACTAACTTATATTTTACCAAATTCACCATATCTTCTTCAAACTACAACAAAAATAGTAAAATAGTACCCAGTTATAATATATACAAAACAACATTAATAATATATCATTATTTACTAATATTAAAGTGATTTTCACAGACATGGCCTCTTGTACTTTCAGCTAAATCATTTTCATTTCTTCCCATTGCATTCAGCCATAGTTTGCGCTTGTATTTTTGTTTGGTATTTGCTGCTGGTAGAGAAACAAATATTTTATCTGGAGTTCTAAGACTTAGATTTACATTCAGGAACTAAACAGTATTTATATGGTCCTTTGTTAACAACACTCGCCATTTTAACGATTTTTATTTAGTAACCAAAACTAAATAATTTATAAAATACTTACGAAACCAAAGAAACACAATGCCACAATCTTAATACACAAATAAACACTGACTGACTGACTGACAGTTACATGTAAACAAGCATAGTGACGTCACTCGATTGATATCCGAGTAAAATGCGTTTTTGCGGGAATTTCAAATTCATAAATTTTATAATCGCTTTTTGAGAAAAATAATTTTTTTTAATTTTTTTATTATGCAGAATAGATGTACATGTACATATATATTTATAATTTGTACATGCAGAAAAAAGTCGCGTGTAGCTAATTGTTATATGGGTAAAAACCGACAAAACATTGAACTTTTTATTAATTATAAAAACTACAGAAACAAACTAAATAGAATTATAGTGACTGTCAAATCAAATTGTTATGCAAATGTCTTAGAAAACACCAAAGACATGAAAAAAATGTATAAAGTTTTAAAAGAAGCGACAAATGAAAACGCTAGTACGACAGCAGAAATGTTGTCAATCATGAAACTAATAAAATTATCTCTATCAAAACCTTAAAAAAATAGTTTTCCTGGAATTGATCAGATAACATCTAAAATAATAAAAAAAGTATCAGAACTCTATTTTAACACCCCTTGTTCACATTATTAATTTATTATTTCAAAGTGAAGAAATTCCGTAACAACTCAAAACATCAATAATTTCTCCGATATACAAAAATGGAAACAAAAACCACATAACAAATTATAGACCCATTAGTCTCATAAATACAACAGCAAAATTTTGTGAAAAATGTTTAAAGGTAAGATTGAATGATTATCTAATAAAAAATGACATACTAAGTGAAAATCAATATGGGTTTTAACGAAACACAAGCACATGTGATGCAATGTTTGAACTAGTAAATCAAATTAAAATTAACCTGGACAAAGGCAATAAATGTGTAGGTAGTATTTCTTGATCTGGCAAAAGCCTTTGACACAGTACCTCATGATACACTCTTAAATGTTCTAGAACAATATGGAGTGAGAGGTATTAAGTTAAAACTTCTAAACAATTATCTACTTCAAAGAAAACATATGGTTAAATTGAAAGATACGCTAAGTGACTCAGAAGAAATAAAAATAGGCGGCCCCCAAGGAACTGTTCTTGGACCAACCCTGTTTTTAGTATATATAAACTCCTTATTGAAGACACCTGATAATGAAACAGTGATTTCATATGCAGATGACACTGCTATAATTTTTAATGATCAAAACTTGGAAAGATGTAAAGATCAAAGCTCAAATTACGAAAATGTATATACAAATTTTATCAAATGAGAAAGTTTATGAACCGCAAACAGTTAATAATTATTTACACTAGTAGAGTCAATCCTTCGATATGGGATAATTGTTTGAGGGGGTTTATGTGATACAACCTTCCATCCTCTCAGAGTTATACAAAATTGCATTGTCAAAATTATCTACCAACTGTTGTAAAGTTTGAAATACCCTCCTTTTTATAATGCACCTAGCGCCCTCTCTTGCTTACTTTAAATGTCATGTTTCATAGGACGAAATGGATCCTCCATGAGTGTTGCCGAAGAACAAGTGTTTGGTATTATTTTAAAACCTACCAAGTTTCTCATTTTTAACACCAACAACCGTCACTTTACCCGACAGCTCTCCTGTTCAATGATGAAATCCTAAACATAAGCAACACTCTACTTATACTTATGTTGTATTTTCATATATGAAAAATCACATCTAAGAACTACTGCTAAACATCCCCACAACACGAGAGTCAAGTTAAATAATAATTTAACAATAAACACAAAAAAATATAACCAAATTACATATATTTCGACTTAAAGCTAAACAATACGTTACTGTTAACTTAAATTTATTTAAGGAGATTTTATAAATTGACTGATACACCCCCACCCCACATTGGAATAAAAAATTATTATTTTCCTTTGTTATTGTCGCAACATGTTTTGTAAATTTATACCTTAGTTTAGTTTATTGGTATGCTATAGCACACACAGGTGGACAAATAGGTGCTTATTTTTAATTCTTTAAGTTAATATTAAAAAATGTCAAATATAAAATGTATATGTAAATCTTAAATAAATAAAAAAAAATCATTTTGACTGACTACAAACATTTTTAAGGTAGTTAAATAAATTATCTATCGATCTATCTATCTTAGTATAAGGAATGTCACAAATATATTTTTTTCTAACTAAACTAAGTTGACAATTTATTTTTAAACATTATTATGAGTTCATAAAAATACTAGAATATCTGTTAATCACATCAATATTTTATTTTAAGATGTATACAATATTATTATAATTATAATAAAATGAAATTATTGAACTATATTAGCCAGCGCACGTGTTCACTCACTTAGATGCTTACTGTTTTATATTCCTACACGAATGTTAATTTAATACAAAAAAAGACAATTGTTACTATATAATAAACTTATGCCATTATTATTATTATTGTTAATTTTTATAATTATATTATAAATATTAAGTAGTAAGTATTTGTTGAATATAAAATATTTGCCTGAAAGTTAATATCTCAATGTTGTCGAATGTTTATAAGAATGTTGCGTTGCTATCGCTGACGAAGCACAAGCCGATGTAACAAGACGAGACAAAGAATATTTCGAAGGCAGAACTTCTTGAGCGCTTGGCACGCAATTATTTAACTGAAAATAAAAACGAATATTTTTCAAACAATTTATTGTCTTATTCTGAACTCCTTGTAATAGTTCAGAAGTGCGATTATAGAACTGTTATTTTTACTTTTGCTACTGAATGTGAGTTGTTTCGTGTCCGAAAAATGAGTGAGATCGGGGAAAGTGATGACGAAGTGCGTCAAAAACAAGTGTATGACGATTTAATCGAAAAACACATTAAAAAACAAATTACAGCCGCTATAAAAAGAAAACTCGATGCCGACCCGAGACCCTCGACTAGTGATTTAGGAGATTTGGGCAATAATCAACATGACGGTGTTGCCACTAAAAAATTTACTGTTAAAAGTGATATAATTCCACCATTTGACCCCGATGATCGCCAGCTCACTGTGGTATCATGGCTCAACAAAATTGACCAACTATCGCAGATTCATGGTTGGACTGAGTACGAAAAATCCGCTTATATGCAAATGAAATTAAAAGGCGCAGCACTCTGCAGAAGAACACCATGATATGCCACCCCGAGAAAAGGCAGAAAATCGAATGTTACATTTGTAGAAAGTTGGGTCATTATGCCAAGGACTGTTGGAACCGGAACACACCATCTTCCTCAAAACAAGGAGGCCCAGGACCGTCCCGATGTGCAGTATGTCGTATGACCAACCATGCCACCAAGGATTGCTTCAAACTGCGAATTGGACCAACCCAAAAGCAGGATCTGAAACGATGTGAAGTTTGTAAGAAAACGGGACACCGTGGAGAAAATTGTTGGCATAAAAAAAGAACGTCGAAGGTGTTAACACTTTAGGGCAAGTACAATATGATTTATATAAAATAACTGTTATAATAAATAATATTCCGTTTAGAGGGTATTTAGATGCGGGGAGTTCAATAAATGTTGCAAATATGAAAGTTTTGAATAAAACAAATTTACAATTAATGCCCTCTGATACGGTTATTAAAGGTTTTAGTGGGTCATTTGTGATCTCAAAAGGCATAATTAAAACCGATATTTTAATAAATAAAATAAAAATGTTTACGGAAATATTAATAGTAAATACACAAATGAATGATATTGATATTATTATAGGACAACCTGTACTAAATCAATCGAACGTAATGTTGGAAATTAAACCCAATAAGGTCACCTCATCAAAATATGAACATAAAAACAGCATGCAGGTCAAATACCTGAATAGTATAGAAACATCACTAATAAAATATGGTGATATTGCAAAAAAAGATTTCAATGGATTAATCCAATTATTAAATAATAAAAAATCATGCTTTGCACAATCTACTATCGAGCTAGGCCCAATAAATAATGTCGAATTTACTATAACTTTAAATTCAAAACAAACAGTATATTATAGACCATATAGATTATCAGAAAAAGAAAAAACAATAATGCGAGAAAAAGTAGATGAATTATTAACAGCTGGTATTATACAAACTTCACAGTCATCATATGCCAGCCCGGCGATCTTAGTAAAAAAACCAAACGGAGATTACAGACTTTGCATCGATTACAGAAAATTAAATGCTATTACTGTAAAAGACCGCTATCCCTTACCACATATCGAAGATCTTATAAACAAATTAGGCGGAAATAAATATTTTTCTAGCCTAGATATGAAACACGGTTATTACCAAATTCCGCTGACTAGGGACTCGATTGACAAAACCGCGTTCATAACTCCAGATGGGCAATACGAGTTTCTTCGCTTACCGTTTGGATTGTGTAACGCGCCGTCAGCATTTCAGAGATGGGTAAATAATATGTTAGGTCCATTACGTCATTCGGAAATATCACTTTATCTTGACGATATTTTAATCCCTTCAAAATCTATATCCCAAGGCATGGAAAAACTGAATACTATTTTAAATATATGAGAAAAAAATAATTTAAAATTAAATCTAGAAAAATGTTATTTTTTTAAAACTAAAATTGATTTTCTGGGATACGAAATTAGTGAAAATGAGATAAAACCCGGTTCGA